AATTTTGGAATTAATGATAAAGTACAAACAGCTTCTCGTGGGAAATAGATCCTGTTTTGGTTTTTACAAGACACAACATAGATAAATAATTTCATGATTTCAACAACTGGACACTAGAGGGAACTAAAAATTTTAGGTAGAGGACTGAGGGCTTAGACAGGCGTGTCCGCCTTTTACAAGACACAACATAGATAAATAATTTCATGATTTCAACAACTGGACACTAGAGGGAACTAAAAATTTTAGGTAGAGGAAAGATATACAGGCATATAAGATGGTTATGACAATAAAAATACTGAAGGAGACTTTTGAAGAATAGAATCACAAAATAGTAGCCACAATATCAACAATGTCAGTAATGATGTCTGCTTCTATGGATAGACTATGTCCAAAAGATATTATTGAAGAAATGTCATACGTAGAACAAATTTTATCTGACAAGATAGAGATGGTATCAAAAGTGGATTTACAACTGATAGGCCAAGATAATGATTTAGAAAGGATGTTTCACTGGTTCTACAAAAGAAACTAGCTGAAGTTCTAAAATTTAAAAGGGAAATACAAATGACAAACCAAGAGAGCGACCTGGATAATTTTTTCCGACTGGATTTACAAAGGAGGCTTGTTAAAGTCTTGAAGAACTCTGTGCAATTGGACAAAGAAGAAATGAAGAGAAATCAAATGCTATGACAATATTTAATGAATTAAAAATTAAGACTGTTAGAAGTAAAAGGAAGGAATATAAAGTTGGTTTATATGATGGTTTATAAGGTTAAGATATGTTGTTAATTCTGGCTACCCTTTTTGGACTTTCTGCTGACATCAGGGCTGAAAAGATGATGTTTTAAGGATTTGTTTATAGATTAAAAAATGGGATATGGGATGAAGATATGTTTGTAACTTTAGAAAGGGTGAAGAGTTATTAAATTTGTTTATACTTGTTCTGATGAAGGTTGGAAGTCACTTCCTCATATATTTCTTTATTACCTCCTTACATTTTTCTATCTTTTTTCTTTTTTTCTTTCTTTTCCCTTGCACTTTTTACTCCTATTTTCTTTAAGTTTAGTTTGTATTAGATTTTACTATTAATAAAAATTCTAAATAAAGATTTATGTATATATAATATACAATAAAATATTTTTATACACACATCCCACCCCAAAATGTTGAATGTATAGCTATTCATAATTTGTAAAATGCACACAAGATAAGGCTAACCGGGGTGTGTGTGTGGCTGTTACTTTATGTAAAATACAGGCATTTCACAGGATGAATTTTGCTTTTGTATTTAGGAATACAATACTAAGTGCATATTAAGAAAAAGTCACTTGGAGTTTCCTAATGCAAAGTTGGACCATATGGTTGTCTACAAACAAGCAAACAAATATATTCTTTACCCCAAAGCTGTGATTCTTCCTTTCATAAAGTTTAAATACAGGACACTACTTGCTATGAAAGCTACACTCAATGGATGCTTTTCCACAAGAGTGAGTGCTTCACAGCAGTTTTTTTTAAAACTGTGAGTATGAATGTAAGGATTTAAAAAGTGAAAATCTGTTCCTAAAGGTTGGTTCTTTAACAAAGTCTGTTATCTCTGATCTTCTAGTGAGGGAATCCACATCTGTTCTAAATACACTGTTTCACAGCTTGTTCTAATTTCTTCTAAAAATCAGCCTGAATTTTCTGTCTTGTAATTTCAGCCTAGTGATCTTTGTTGTTTCAATACTTTACAGTGCTCATTAGCTTCATCTCATTCTGAGGTTTGGATTTCCTGATTCTTTTCTATAACAATAAGCTGTCAATTTCTATTCCTCCTTTGATATCAGGCTCTGCTTCAATTTCTTTGTCTCTTTTTTGTTTCTCAACTTGTCTGTGACATAGCTATTAATCCTTATTTATTTATTTATTTTATTTTTGGGGTACCTTCAACTCATTGTTGACTCCTGGCAACTGCCTGGACTTGCCAAGTTTTCTTGGCAAGATTTCGGAAGCGGTTTGCCATTGCCTCCTTCCTAGGGCTGAGAGAGAGGGACTGTCCCAAGGTCACCCAGTTGGCTTTGTGCCTAAGGCAGAACCAGAACTCAGTTTCAAATCCAGGGCCTTAACCACTATGCCAAACTGGCTCTTCACTATATATATATACACTATATGGCTCACCCATATAGGCCCTTAAAATCTTTTCTCATGTTTTCTTCTAATACGGATTGTTTGTAGCTTGTTTGTTTTTGGAATCTGGTTTTGGAGGATCATTTACCAACTTGTTTCTCCTTTAGGATTTCAAGCCATACTATGCTACTTACTTCAACCGAATTTCATTAAAATCTGCTTCATAAAATCTAAATGACTAACTTTTCCAAGCTTTTCTTTTAGTTAGAATTAAACTCCACCTTGATATTGTATTCTCACAAGGTGCTAAATTCCTTCCATCCATTCAGCAATTATTTTCTGTCTGTTAGGATTAAATCTAAGATAGCTGGCACCATAGTTTCTTCTTCCATCTTTTGAAAAATGAAATTATTGGCACGGGGAAAAAGAATTAAGTTGGGCTTCCCACTCCTTGTCAGCCTTCCAGCAGATATCAGAATCATTTGAGTATCTCATTACCACTATTGCCTAAATCAGCTTGTTGAATGTCCAAATCTTCTGCCTTGGTAAGTGGCCAACAGCAAATTTCCACAATAGTGTCAGTTCTGTTTCTTTTTAATCTTACCCAAATGCTTTCAACAAGATTTCCGTATTTTGGGACATACATTTCTTCACAAGCATATTACTGTTCTACATAGAGAGCCATTCTGCCTCCCTCTTTATAGGATATATATCTTTTGAACAAGCAGTATCTTTTCAATTCTATTATCCAATCTTGAGTCTCATCCTACCAGATTTCTTTGAAACCTAGCAGATATTACATTTCCTTTGTTAGAATCTACTTCTGCCTGCTTGTCACATATTCTCTGGGCACTAGTGTACAGACACCATAGACTAGGTAGCTGTTTACAAGTCTTTGTACTGTTGTATTGGATTTCAAGTACTGCTTTCTGCCTAGTGCCTCCACCATTATTGTATGCAGCCATTTTCTTAATGCCCACCATTTCTCCACTGAATCTTTGTTTTTGTCTCTCTGTCCCCACTTTCGTTTAATTTAAACCTTCCAATAATGTTTGCAAGTACAAGTCCTTCCTATCCTTCTGAAGGACAGCCCATCCCACCTTCTCCTCTGCTCCTGGACAGATATCAGTACCCTTTTCTCCTTGGTGCTCTCATTTTGCTGGTCTTCACAGAGAGATCTCTCTGTGATGCCTATGTGCTCTTCAACTTCAGTGAGGAGTCTTAAAGAAGAAGGGTCGACATCCAGCCCTTTCACCTTTTCCTCTGTTAAGGAGACAACAGCAGTAACTATCACACTCTTCTTTAGGAAGATGAAAATAGAACAAGCTATGAGATGAGCATAACTTATTTTCAAAACTCTCTATTCCTGCTTGCTCTCCAGTTATCTAGATCTAGTTTTGATTGCCAGTCCTCTTTCTAAAGAGTGCTTATGAGAGTGAGGAATGTGGCTCTATCCACTAGCTGTATATCTGGTCAGCAAGTCTGTTACAAGTACAAGCTCCTTCTTCTCAAGACCATGTACTTAGCAAGCACATATTATTTGGCCAGAAAGCACATAACCAGAGACCCCTTCCAAAACTCAGTGGATCTGTTCCACAATTCATCAGGTCATCTGAAAAACTCATTCACTCTGTCCAACAGTTAAGACTGTTTCCCCACTGTCCCACTCCGTCCCCTGCCATAAGATTGTTCTACAAAAGATAAAAAGGATATTCAGGAGCCTCCTACAAGCTTCCTGGCCAAAGCTCACCAGTCCTAATATTTCATGGCTTATCCCAACACCTTGCTGACATAGCTTGGTTATATTAACATTTGTATGCAGACAGAATTTTGGGAGACTGTACTCTGAAAAGTACAGGTTGTATGTTCCTTCAGTAGAAAAGATCCTGTGTGCTTTTTTTTCTTTTCTTGGTAGAGTCACTAAGCCACTGAGCTTTACTTTGTCATCTTCTGCAAATAAACTAGTTTATTCAGAAATCAACTACAAATCTACTTCTAGAAAACTGAGGACCCTGTATCATCTTTACATGCAGACAGATGTGTACATGTATAAGCATTTTCCCTCTGTAATAGTGAAGTGGGATAAGGTAAGAAAGTTATGCAATAGAGAGAAATATCAAATGTAAAACAAAAAGCAACAGGGAGCATGAATGAGCATGTTGTGTAGCTTTGTATGTTCATTCTCATACTTCATCACTGAGGCACAGCTAAAATAGCTGCTGGTAGTTTTAAGGAAAATCTTGTATAATCATATGCATATACACACGCACCAAGACATAATTATGCAAAATGAATGTTTATTTAGATTCCATGTGCTCTACCACTTGATTGTAAAGCAACTCAAGTAAAGTTAAATCAACCTATTTGATGTCTAGATCCATACATTTTATTGTTTTAGAAATGTAGTTATGATTCATTCAACTTCTAAACTTTTGTTCTTAGGGTAAGAAAAAATAATTCCTTAAAAATGAAACAATGAAACAAATGCAACACAAAACAAAATAAATTCCTGTGTCCTTTCAACTGCTGACACGCTTGTCCAAATGTTAATTATTATCTCTGTCACAGGGAGTTATTTCAATATTTTCTTTCCCACTGATGTCCTGGACCCCCTACCCCCCACCTCTTTTTACCAGAAGGTAACATTGACGCCAGTTAGGCATTAAATATATCATTAGTGTAAATGTGAACAGCCCAAGGAACTTCTGTGAAAAACAAACACACCGTTTGCTTTACTAATTTGCCTTTTTTTTAAAAAAAAAAAGTGGTTTTTCTGAAATATTTTTCTTAAAACAAGAGCTTTATATGCAGGCTGGAAATCCACTGCTTATGCTTCTTTGCATTTAAGAAAAATCTCAAGAACAATAGCAGCAGAGTGACACAATGAGCTCACAAGTCAGCCAAGACTGGAACAACAAGTTGTAGAAGATTCCCAATAGCTTTTGCCAACAGCACTCCCATAATCAAATGCAGCTACACCCATTCAACAAACTTGCAAAATAAAATTTCCACTCCTAGAAAATAAGGTGGCTAATCTAGATTTTTACACATGGGACAGAGGGGTGGGGGGAGAGAGAGAAAGACACACAAATGTATGCATGAGCATTCTTTAAACCTGGTAGCTTCCAAATAATTATATTTAATTATTACTAAATGTAAAGCCTTGATTGACTTTGTAAATGTAAAGCTGCATTTGACTCTGGGGTCTACATGGGAAAGTCTAGAGTTTTTTTGGTAACTGTATGGAGGTTGGTTGCCATTACCTTTTTCAAGGGTGTTTTCTGGCTTACCACAGTCTAGACTATAGCCCTGGGATTTCCTATCTAATTACTAACCAAATCGACCCCGCTTAGTTTTTATTTCAAACAACAGTCAATGTCAGTCAGGTGTGCTACCTGTTGTGACATCTGGAATATACAAATCCTAAACAAAATGTACATATCCCAAGGATATAGATAGATTGTTCCCATAAGTTAATGGTATAGCTTTTTATTTTCTAATATCTACTTCATGCTACTTTCTGTATACTTTGTCCTATACAATCATCCTAAAACACTGTACAAAGGACAAATAACTATTATCTCATTAAGATAGTACTCACCAGTAAACAACTTTGTAACAGCTTTATTCTGCTTTCGAGCCGAACAGAGCAGCAGCAACCATGGAGGAAAATACTCATAGTGAGTAGCTAGAAGCTCAGCTATAGTTCCAGATAAGCCTGCAGATGTCTGGTCACCTTCTGCAATATTGCACCCCTCATCTATTGAATCCACCAAGAGAAAGAAACTTTGTTGGGGGGCCTTGGTTCCCAGAAGTGGGAGTAGAATGCACCTGAAACAAAAAAGGGAAGAAATATAAGAATTATGTGTTCACACATAAGCAATGGCTTAAAAAGAACACACACAAGTATGTATAAAGCATCTCTTTTCAAGTAAGCATCTGCATTTTTTCCAGGCTTTTATAGCTACTTCAGAAGCTATTCCTACGCAGCTATCTCTACATTTCTATACCTACTCTGCTTCAATATAAGGCATCCAGAGACAGCTGAAAAGAGTTTCTAAAGTAGCCAAACAAATTGGAGAAAAGAAGAAGCTATTTTAACTTTGAAAAAGAGCTTCATATGCACACATATGCATACAAAGAAAGTCTTTGGAATTTGCCCCACCCCAATACATACATTCTCTCACTTTATTAGAAATTATGGGACAGAGGAACATGCACATATATAGACAAAAATTATACTTGCTATGCACCTTAAAACATTTTCTTGATATTGTTGGAGACTTCTTAATCATTATCAGGCTCCTTTATTATTTGTTTATTATGTAAACCTGACATGTTGGCACTAGAATTCTTCAGAACTCAAAGCAGCCATTAGCCACGCTAATTGAGAATTCTGGAAATTGCATTCCTAATATGGCCAGGGGCCAGCAAATCGGGAAAACAAATCAAAAACTGAAATGTGGAAGCAATCAAGTGCACATTTTGCTTGTGGTGTAATAACTTCTAATTCTGAGAACTGGATTACAGTCTTTCTGAAGACAAAAGTCCCAGCTTAGTAATCATTCAAGCTTCCTTTCTAACAAGATATAATAATCACAGTGACCTGGACTGATTTTGGTCAGCTTCAGCTGCCCTGCCCCATGAACTACAACCATTGCTAGGCAGGAATAATTGGCTGCTAGTAATGAACTACATGAAGTTGTCCTCAAAGTCAGTATAGAAAATGCAGTCAGTGCACAATGTGGCAAATGCAGAGTTATCAGTAATATGCAGAATTAATAACACCAGTTGTAAAATAACTGCATGTCCTGGCAATACCTTCATTCAAAGGGAAAATGAAGATCTTAAAAGCCATAAGTAGTATGGAAACATGATACAGGATCAAGTTTCTGTAGCAAGTACAATACACCTTTTCACAGTATGTACCTGCCCAGCTGTCACGACCTACTAAGGAGGGGCTTTTCTACCTCCCACTATTGGAAACATGGGAAAGGTCTTGGCTATGGCAGACAGATTATAGCACCATTCTATCAGAGAGTATCAGAATGTGTCTTCTGCTATGATCCAATCCGGTCATTTCTCAATAATTTCCGTGAAGTAAATATTTTAGATGTAGCCCAGTCCCAAGCACATCTGGAGCATCACAAATCTGTTCTGATTTTTTTTTTCTGGCTTCAAGCCAGTTTTTGAGTCCCTGCAGTTTTCTTGGCAAGATTTCAGAAGTGGTTTGCCACTGCCTCCTTCCTAGGGCTAAGAGAAAGTGACTGGCCCAAAGTCATCTGGTTGGCTTTGTGCCCACGGCAGGACTAGAACTCACCATCTCCCGATTTCTAGTCTGCTTCCTTAACCGCTACCCCAAACTGGCTCTGAGAAAAATTACTGGATCACAACCAGTATGGCAGACTACAAAAGAAAAACATGCCATCGTGGTAGCTTTCTCAGAGCAATGAGCTTTGCAAACAATATTTAAATCCTTTATTCATTATCCTTCACTCTGGAAAGATAATGTTCTTCTATCTGATATATTTCAATATCTGATTAACATTGACATTCACTGTATTCTATTTCATTTGATTCCTGAATTGCTTTCTGGGTTTAGATTGTTCTATTTATGTAGAAACTAAGAGCCAGTTTGGTGTAATGGTTAAGGCATCAGGCTAAAAACTGGGAGACCATGGGTTCTAGTCCTGCCTTGGGCCAGTCACTTTCAGTCCTAGGAAGGAAGCAATGGCAAACCGCTTCTGAAAAACCTTGCCAAGAAAACTGCAGGGACTTGTCCAGCAATTTCCGAGAATCGGACACAACTGATGGATAGAAAAAAAATTATGTAGAATTGCCTGTTGTTGCCTTTATGAAATTACTTAAAATGATTACTGTCTAATCCCTCTTGACCATAGACAGGAAGCAGGACTGGGGATATTGTGTAGTCTACAGATTCTTTAAAGTGAAATTGGTCAAATTTGCCAGTCTTAGCAAAGAAGCTAAGGGAAAATCAATTGAACATAATAAGCCAGAAGGCAAGCTGTTTCAAGCCTCCTTGATGATGAACTGATTAGGAAATTATCAGCTTTAGCAAAGATACTATATTCAACTATAGTTGAATATAATTATCTGGACAAAGCTAAAGTGTTCCATTGCTGTGGGGTTCAGGGTGATTCTGCTCAGCTATCAACACTGGCTTCACTATTTTGTCCCTGCAACATATCAACCCTAAAATGTGACAAGCCCATTGAACTGTCTCTTTTAATAGCACATTAAGTTACATATAATAAACAAACTTGGATGCTTATTAAGCATTAATCAACATTAGGTCTGAGTGGAAATACCTACAACTGCAACCTCTCCCCACCCCCTCAGTTCCTAACAACTAAACACAGAAATAATTGTTATTTTTGTTTAAGTGATTACAAAGCCATTGGAATAATATATTATGCAGGATAGAAAAAGTATTGACATTTGCAAACTTTGGTGCTGCAGAAAACTTTTGAGAATAGTATAGATAGGCAGGAAAGCAACCAAATGAATCATAACAATAATTATAATATTTTGGACATATTATGTGAAAACAGCACTCTTGAGAAGTCCATAATAGAAAACAAAAGAAGAGAATAACCAGCAACAAGGTGGATTAACTTGATTACAGAGGCAAGGGAACACCACTGGGAGACTTGAAGGCCCAGGTTGGGGACATCCTGGAGAAGATCTACATGATTCCTAAAAGTTGACACCAACTTGATGGCACATAATCAATAATCAATTATACATTATAGTTGCCATCAGCTCCCCAAAGCCAGAAATCCTATTGCAGAAGCAGCATATTCTTTCAGGTGTGTTTCAGCACATTTAGAAAGTTATTTTTGTAGTTCCTAACTGCATCGTGACTTGAAGTCTATTCCGCGAGTTATTCAATAGGGTAACTATTCCTGCTATAAAACCACCTTGCTCAGGATAGATAGATAGATAGATAGATAGATAGATAGATAGATAGATAGATAAAGTGTTTTCCTAGGCAAGACACACACACATATGCATACACATCCTCCAACCCTCCACCCACAAAATCCATAGGAAGTTTGTTTCAAATCAAAATGAACTACCTCTTACACCATTCTTCCAAGATAGCTGTTTATTACCATCACCAATAACTAAACTTTTAAAACATTTTGAGAATGGCAAAAAAATGGTATGTAATAAATTTTAGTGTGTCTATCATGCATGCATAAGACTTAAGAAGAGCATCCAGTTTCCAAGACATATCTTGCCAGCAGTTGCTATTTCTATAGATATATCCATAAACTCCCAAAGCACTACTCGTTGTACATCGCTAGATACTTTTTTGGTTTAATAATTTGTCTGAAACATGCTGTGCCCAAGATTCAATGAAAGATATAAATGACACAAGGAATAGAAGTGTGTAAAAAAAGAAAAAAGATCCCTCTAACTTTTAATAATTGCTATTACTACAGCTTTTTAAAGCATCGTAAAGCAATTTTCACTTTTCAGGAATAAACCATACAACTATGGCTTTACCTAGCAGAGAAGATGTTGGGGTTGTGTCCCAAAAAAAGAGCTTTCATCCAAAGCTAATGCTGCCAGTTTCTGATTTTGATCTTCAAGAAAGCTGCAGCACAAGTCATTTAGAATGTTATGTACTATTGACACTGCATTGCATAACACTGCTGTGTGCAAGCGAAATAGTTGCATTACACTTGGATGTGGAACAGCACCATGCAACCTTTCCTTCATTTTTTTTTCTTTCTCGACTGCTTCACAATCATCAAATGGCTTCATCTATTATACTGTCTTAGTTTTAAAAAATAGTTGTAGAAGTGTTATAGGTGCACACTGCCTTAGTTTATTACATTTCATCTGTGGCTCAAGTTTGTCAGAGGCAGCAATTTTTAAAAATAAGCTGAACATGGTTAAAAGTTTTTTGCTGTTGTTGCAACTCTACATTCCCTTAACCATTGGAAAACAATCTGAACATTTGGGAGTTCTTGCAAATATCTTGAAGATATTGCAAAGGGGGAGGAGATGCATTATTCAAAGTCTGTTACACTAGTAGGGAAGAAATAACTAAGCTTTCCCCACTTCCACCCCTTTTCTATTTCTCATTAATGCTATAATTTCCTTTCAACTGACTGAAGTGAGAAGAAAACCTATGGATACTAGCTTGAAGACTATTATATTTTCCTCCAGTTCTGGGGGAGAGAGATGTTGGTGGAATTGGTCAGATCACTATCAACAAAGTGTCTATTTCTGGCAAGGGTTAAGGAATTTTTTCAGCAGTTCAAACTTCTTTTTCTATCTTCAAAGACGAAGATCTACATTTTCTCTCATTTGCTCCAGGGCTACTCTCCCAGGGACCAGAATATGGCATCTTTAGCTTACTCTCTCCACTTTGTATGTGTCACCCACTACTTTATCAGTGCCTATTTACAAATGTAGAATTTTTAAAAGACACACATTAAAAGTGTCAGATAAAAACGAAACAGAAAACTCACATTAAAACATACATGGAATAGGTGAATAAATATGCTTTAAGCACCTTCCTAAACTGTAACAAGGAAGGGACATGTCTAATACTTTCTTGTCCTCCCACAAAATATTTCAATATAGGAAAAAAGAAGCAGAACTTGCTGTTGGTTTTATAGATATCTACGGTGGGGACTGTAAAAGATGACCTGTTAAAGACCGGAGAGCGGGGGATGAACTTTGTTCTGGTGGTAGCTTGAGTGTAAGCTGTACAGAGATTTGTTCATCAAAGCTAGCAGCTTCAATTGGTCTCAAAAGTCAATGAGCAAACAGTGTAGCTGTTTCACATGGAA